CTGTATCTATGCCAACAAAGTAACCACACATAGAGGACTCTTTTTTATTTTTTTGCAAAGCTCTAATCCTCAAATGCAATACGAGTCATTACTTGATTTTGTGTAAAGAATGTCATATTTAGGCATATCAAACTCTCTCTTTATAGTGTGCACAAAGACACAGAACAATTTTAAAAATGTAGCCCAGATTGGATTTATGCCTAACCTGAGTTGATTTCTAAACAAGACAGAGTGCTTCCAGCATTTGTGTAATGTTTGATCTATTTGTGCTGTATGTTCCCTTGGTCTAACAAAATTGGAGTTGTAAATTGGTTCTCCAGACCATCTCAGCAAGACACTCGTCTCAAACTGTGTTTGAACTGGGAAGAGTTTGCTGCAGTATTGATTTCAAAATATTACATACATCAAATATGTAATGGGCTACCCAGGGCTCAACATAAAAAAAAATCTCCACTGGCCCCCAGGGCCAGTAGATCAGAGTTTTGCTGGCCCCTTCTTTATTTTTACTGGCCCTGAAAGAAATATAAGGAAAAGCACTTTTCCATTAAACTGTATTTATTGTATACATTAGAATTAATTTTTCTTGTCCCCTCACAATGACAGTAAACTAATTATTACATTACATGAGTGATGAGTAACGTTACATAGGCCTATTTTCACTTCAAAATGGTGAAATTAAACAAAAGTATATTAGTTTGCCTGATTATTTTTGTCATTCGTTTAACATTTATGACCTAAAAAAAGCTGTCAATGGAAAAAAAGAAGAACAAAACAATGTTGAAATTGAAGGATATGGAAACAAATATAGGGAATGTAATGTAGGCTATGCAATAGGCTATATTATGTGCAAAAAGGTGGTTCAAATCACATTACATTCTAAAATTGTAACATTACAATCTAAAAACTTTGTTTTTAAAATGACTAAAGGCTAAACTAAAAACAAAAGCAAACACTAATTATTTTAGCCTGCATTTGATTACCCCATTATAATGGTCACTTTCATAAAGAATATACTTGTAGGTTTAAAATTCCACATATGGCACATTTATTGTCTCCAACAACAAATATTTTAGCAACATGTATATTTTAGTCAGAATTTTTTGCGCTACTCTTTATTGTGCTCGTCTGTTAGAGGCGCGCGTGCTCGCGGCGGCGCTCATTAACGGAAGCTTGAATTTTAGCGGAGATTCACTTGCAGAAGCTCGTCCTCTCCTGACAGTGAAATGGACATATTTGTTTGACTTTCTAACATTTACAGATGGAGAATATACCCGTGAAATGTAAGTTAAGCACTGAGGAAAGCACCACATCTCAAACGCATTAAACAGCCCAAGTATTTATCTGTCAGTCAGCAACAGTATCTGTCAGAGCATCTGACAGGGCTGCTTTAAACTTGTTAACTATATCTTACTAGTTATTTTGAAGCGCTTAATACTAGCTTGTGTCATGTTTAGGACAATTGTACTATCTATGTTCTTTCACTGCAGGAGCTCACACTGCCCTCCGCTATATTTTTCAGATGTGCTCGTATCAAACTACTGTATCGATAAACGGTATTGCCTCATTCCATATCGTTTAAAAAAATCGATATATTGTACAAACTCGATATATGGCCTACTGCCCAGCCCTACTAGGAATGTCCTCTTTCTCGTATCAGCCTCGTAGTTCTTCGACATTTTAACACGTTATAAATAACCTGAAGTAACATTGACACTCTTCGCGCCACTGTGTATCATGACGTTTGCTGTTTGTTTTGCTGATGGCCATTCACTGGCCCGCGCGGGCCAGTGACTGGCCAACCAACTAGCCCGACATACTCTTTTACTGGCCCCGGGCCATCGGGCCATTGCTTATGTCGAGCCCTGGGGCTACCACTCAAGATGTGGCACCCAACAAATTTCAAGAAAGATTTTTATTACAACTGATAATTCATCTTTAACCCTCTGGGGACCAGAAACGCGTCGGCGTGTTTTGCTCGTTTTTTTTCACATAGCAGAAAAATAGACTTAAAGTACTACCATCATTTCTGTTCATATAGAGTTAAGAAATATGAGAAAATAATCTGTTAAATGTCTACTTTTTTATGTGCCCACATACAATCGAAATAAAATATTGTGCTTTTGTAAAATAAAGAAAATAAACAGGGTGTGCGTTCTGCCTCTCGGTCACCGTGAACTTTTTTTCTGGAGCACGTCTCTAATCTTCAACACAACTCAGCTAATACTATTCACCCAGCCATAAGCAAAATATCTTTTAAATCATTTGAGTTTGTACTTTTAAATGATCCGATTCAAAACTAAAATTAATATTCTCCGTTTATGTCATCTATATAAAAAGAGAGACGTGTCAGCCCGTCTCATTATCGTTCTCTCAGCTGATTATCTCTGGTAATGTGACACGCCCACGGAGAGCACGCGCTATTCAAACGCAAATATGTGAAGCAACACATTGAAACGCGTTAACGCCCATAAACTCTGAAAACACACATTATTTTTTAGTCAGATTAATCTACTGTCGTCTTGCGCGGCTATATGAGGAACAATCCTGGGACAATTTACCACAGAACAAGTGCTGGTTTATTTTCACTTCGAGGAGGAGCAACAGATTCAGCTGAGAAGTAAGTGTTTTATGCAAGTGCTTTGTTCTAATCGCGATATAGAATAACGTTAGTGTCTGTAAACGGAAAAATAGCATACTGTTTTTGTGAATCATGTTTGTGTGTGTGTGTGAATGAATGAATGAATGAATGAACGCACAGATACGTACTGTTACAGACTAAATAAAAGACAACATTTCGACTAGTTTTGGATACAGTTTTTACTCTAAAATAGACATCAAATAAGCTTTTGTTAGGAGTTTCTGCTCATATGTTAAATATATAGTATGTTTTGTCAATAAACTAATCAACTAAGATGTTATAGTGTTTGTTCAAGCTATATCAAAATAATGAATCCTCAACTTTGAAATATGTATGATCAAACTAAGACATTTATGGAAAAAGACTATTTTCTTTTCAAGATGTTTCCAACTCTAACTTTGAACTTTGAACTGAAATAAAACCATGTCTATATGGTGAAGGGTGTGTGATAGAAGTGTCCAGACGTATGCACCCTGTATTTTCCTTATATAAATCCAAACAATCTAAAAGCCATTCTTTTTTTTAAATCTCCTCATTCTTTGTGCAAGGCTCCTGTAATGATATGGCCTGATAGCACCTAATAGGGCCATTATGGGGAGGGTCTTTGTCTTTCTCAGGTGTGAAATGCCACACATATTAATGAGAGATCACGCCTCCTGCATAAAGCTTTCTCAAACAAAACACGTCATTAAAAATGTAAAATACTTTATTGACTTATCTGAATGAGTAGTCTGGATGATTCTCACATAGTTTTGGAGCAAATATTCTAGACTATGTGATACAATTTTCAAAAGTATTGTGAAGAAATAATCAATATGTGTTTTGTGGTCTTATTTCAGCAACTTTCAGTTTTATTTTTTTTTCAATAACCACGCATAAACATTATTCTCTTAAAAATACAAACATGTACATACATGTTGCTCACTTATCATGGTAGTCCCGTCTGTGCTATATAGAGTGAATTTACACCTTTGCCATTAACATGTTTATAAATAACTGAAAAAAGCACAAATGTCAGTGCATGTCAAAACATCCCAAGGGCCCCAAAAACACTCTGGTCCCCAGAGGGTTAATGGCTTAGAGTATGTACTCACATATTGTATATATCTAACACCCTCTGGCATAAAAAAAATACAGATGCTAAGAGAGGTGATCTCAAGTTGGGAAAGTTTCTCTCACACAACCTGCTTCTCTGTGTTACAGGCCACCTGTTGAGGCCAAATTAATTATCCTAACTCATGAAATGTCAACAGTTTTATAATGAGCCTAATTTATGTTCTACAACAAAAATAAAAAAGGACAGTAATGAGGTGTAGAATGTGCCAAGTGTAAACACCTGCAACCATGACTGCAATTTCATCTAAAAAACAAAAAAAACAAAACAAAAAAACAGCAGTTCTGACCTTTAGACTGGGATAACAGAAAAAGAAAAGGCACAGGACTTGACGGAAGACCTTTTATGTCTTTTATGTTTTTTTTAAATAAGCGCTGTGGGTAGGTGACAGCTCAATTGACTTTTGGTAAGCAACAAAAGGGAATGTGGCTTACAAAAAAACACCTTCATTCAAATAGCCTCATTATACCCACATTTAGAAGATTTTTATATAATATGTATCTATCTATCTATCTATCTGTCTATCTATCTATCTATCTATCTATCTATCTATCTATCTATCTATCTATCTATCTATCTATCTATCTATCTATCTATCTATCTATCTATCTATCTATCTATCTATCTATCTATCTTATCTATCTATCTATCTATCTATCTATCTATCTATCTATATGTATATCATCACACTTTTATACTCTTTTGTATTACTTTATACTCTTTATCTTTTATTATTTAAAAAAGGCAGTCAAGCAGGCATTGATTCAAAGTTTGTTTTGATAAATTTTGCTTCGATAAAATTGCTTGGAATTTAAATGAATTATAATTCTACATCATTACATTCAAATTCTAAATGTAGAGCTACATTCTCTTTGCTACCTCAATTCAAATTAAAATTAGTTTCAATTTAAAATGTATTCTTAATTAAATTCTGTATGTGGCATGGCTGTTTCCTTCCCAATTTTGTTCACTTTAAACTAAAAAAAATATTATGTGTATTGTGCATCTTTAGTTATACGAATAAAGAATTAATCCCTCATGCAATAAATCCATTAGCATAGAGTTGACTGTTTGGCAAGTTAACACAAATTGTGAAGTCACAGAAGTAGTTATTTTGGAACTACTTTTGTTGGCAGAAAGAAAAAAAAGGATACAATACTAAATTGCTACATGCCTACAGGTGATATGGCTTAAATATATGATGATAACAAATGGGTAGAATGGTAGATAAGGAAATACATTAATGAATAAATAATGACATATTTAGGCACTTACCTGGTTTGTGATTGCAGGAAGGGGAAAAAAACAGAGAGAGAGAAAAATATATTACAATTGATGGCAACAGATTTCACAGAACACCAACAACCTAAGTGAAGAAAGCATCACCTTCATAGCAAGACAACTGTGCATCAGTGCCAATCAATACAAAAGACAATAACAGCTCTTATGGGTAAACACACTCATACATCCATTACACACTCTGCGAGAGCAGTGTGTGTATCCTTGACCAATCATATGAGAACTTAGAAATCACTGTGGCGACTTCATGCAGACAAATCGATATAATCATCTGCCCAAACTTGTCTGGATTCAGCACACAGTGAAGTGTGAGCCGCTTTTCTCTGAACTGAAAGCCAATTGGCCTGTTTGTAAGGTTTCGAATGACAAAACCTGTGAGTATACTGCAAGAATTGGTCACCTGTTCAATTATCACCTGTGCTTGACTTTAAGTTAAGAAGGAGCCATCGCACTCTCTCTTGTATTTACATGTGCAACATTGTGTGACGGCCACCATTAAACATACCATGCCAAACTCCCAAGACAACTGGTGGGCATACAGTAGTAACATGATTAGCGCATGTGTTGGCTTCCTGTAAGCTGTGAATGATGAACCCATGGCCTCCTCGCTAATGGACGTTTTAATCCACAGCTTGAGCAATGAGTGTTTATAGGTTCCTAGAGGGCCCTCATTCCACATTAATATTTAACCACTGCTTTTAGCCATTTTGTTCCTGCTTAGCATAAGCAGCTGAGCTTGAAATATATCACCTACGAAACGCTCTCTCGTTCTCCTCCCTTCCTCAACTTAATTTTCCCTCCACCGTCTAATTTTGTGTGTCTGCTGCATGGTGAGTAATGGCCATTGTTTCTGGGCAGAAGCGAGCTGTTCACCTTGAGTGGGTAACATGTGTGGGTCCAGGTTGCTTTTATTCTTTGCTGTTTGTCTTTCTTTTTTCTGCTTCCCACACACCTAACCCCAGTCCCCTTCATTTGCACCTGGTTTTCTTTCTTTTTGCATTCATACTTTAAAGCTGGAACAAAATGAGGTATGCCCTTTTTGAAACACACAAAATTGAAGGTCACAAGGGCCTGCTGAGTTGCTGTAAAAATGTGAGACTTATACCCAATTCAGTCTGTAAAGTGTTTCTAAGTTAAAGAAATAATTAATCGTTTTTATTCCATTTTATACTGTAAATGAGGTCATCCCTTAAAATTATAACACTCTGGGGTAGTAGGCAATACATACTAATAATTCTCATTGAACAGACTTTAACCCTTGTGTTCTGTTCGATTTCTGTGTACACCCCTTATGGACCGGGTCAAATTGACCCTAATTGGATTCAATACAATTCCTCAAAAATCACACTATGAAAAACAACAAAGATTTAGATACAAACTGTAAACATTTAATATCAACATTTGTCAAACATTACAAAAACATTATATCTGAAAATATGATTTATGAAAATGTTTTTAAAACATTTTTTAAAACAGTTTTATTTTGACAAAATTGGAAAATAAACAGTATACTGATTTTTTTTGCATATATTTAAAAAAAAAAAAAAACTTTTTTTTTTTTACATTTTATGCTTTGAACATCGTAACTGAACAAAAAAAAAATGCTGTATAATGATTTTTTTTCATTTTCCTAAGTTAACTTTCCCTAGTTTCCTAAGACCTATTTTCCTAGTTTCATTATTCACTCACTGGGAAGTGAGAAACCAAACATAACAAAAACATACATCAAATAAATGTTTTTTATTTATTTTTTGGCTCTGTGAAGCTGCCTTTGAAAATCCTACATAAAAGTTTTGGTTAAAAGCTAGGTATTTTAGATATTTTGAATATTGAAATGAGAGTTTATTTTACTATCTGTGTCGGACAAAGATTTTCATCTGTAATTTGCAAATAATTCTGAACACTGTAATTTTAGCTTTTTCAAGTGTGTTTGGTTAGGGTTAGAGCACTTTTAGATGCACTTGCACGTTAGAACTGGAGTTGAAGTGCCCTGACATACAGAAAATAAATGTTTTTATTTTGTGTCTGTACAGTTGCTTTTGAATGGCTGTCTATGAGGGTCAAACTGACCCGTGAACATCACGAACGTAACAGTGATTTTGTTTGTATATGTCAAAACACATCAGCATGTTGAAACTTTGCATGCATGTTCATCATGATAAATGAGAAAAAGTCACGAAATATCAAAAAAAAAAAAAAAAGTTAACCAGTATTTCCAACAACTTGAAAATCGAAACGGGTCAAATTGACCCGCAACATAACACAAGGGTTAATGCTGAACACGGGAGTAATAACCACATTACATAGTTCCGTCGTTATTAGCGTAGTTAAGCAAGTTTCCCGAAACCATCGTTCTAACGAACATTCGCAAACACCATCGCAAAGTGGTGTGGTTGGAACGACAGCTCTCGATCTGTGGTTAGAAGCATAGTTTCTAGTTTGCATGACATGTGGACTTAATAAAACTTTGTCTTGAGCAAAATAAGCAAGCTGACATCCAGTACAATCTGTATCTTTTATTTATATTATATACAAATGTTATTTACGTCTTTTAGTTTGTCAAGAGATTTAAAGCACAGTTTTTGTAATAACTGAGAAAATTTGAAATAGTCCTCAAATGCCATGTCCGTAATTTATAGAAAAACATCTAGCATTATTTCGATCTCAAACAGATTCATTAAAATAAGTTATTACTCCACCACGTACGTGGCATCATTAACCAATGTGGTTGAACGACCAATTTGCGACAATACAGCTAGCTAGTTAATTTATTCAACGATGCATCTTACTATGGTAGTTAAGCAGCGAGTTGCGTCGTTGTACTAGAAACACACCCCTGAACAGGAAGTATGCAGGGGATAATCAGGAACTAAATAAGTTATTGAGAATGAGGAGTCACGTGTCGATTTGGGCGGGGTCTGAGCCGGTCGGCCATGATGGTAGGAGACGCTATCGGTTGCCAGAGGGCAACGCCTTCAGAACTTCAAAGAGGCGCGACTAAATATTCCAGAATTAGCGAAAGAGAGACAGCGCAGCTTAGTATTTGTTTACATTTTAGCTATACGCCACAGTTTCTTTGGAAGATATGGAGAAGGAAGAGAAATGAAAGGGGTTCTATCGGGAGAGACTAAATAACAATGCTAGCCAGCTTTATTTAGAGAAACTGCTTGTCAATAAACTGACAGCAGCAACAGCGAGCAAAGCATGATTTCAAAAGCAACACATTTCAGCACAGTTCGCCTTTTATTTAACACAAACGAACGAAATAAATAATCTGTTATTCAACTAGAGTTGTTTAATTTGTTATAGATATATCTGTACCGCAAAATGTTTTAAAAAGACACTTTTTTTAATGACATAGGACTCGCAATGACAGGGGATTGTCCGATCTGTCCGCTTATTCATATCAGATTTATTTCCACATATGAATGAGAACTGAAACATCAAGTATGACTGAACTCTCGCAATTTAACGTTACAGGTTTGGGGGTTTCTAAGTCTTGCACCCAGCCGCAGCAGAATTGTTCATAAGCTTCTAATGACTTAAAGCTTCTGAACTCTTGCATTGTGTAGGCAGTAACGTTAGGCACTGATACCATAAACCAGGTAATTGACTATGTCAGGGTATGTGAAAGATGGTAGTGCTTTGGGTCTTTCGTCCATTCTGTAGCAGGTTGTACGGGTCCATGTTGATGTCAAGTAGTTTCTCTAAATAACGCTGCTTGGTGTTGCTGCTTGGTAGTCTCTCCCGATAGAGCCCCTTCATTTTGCTTCCCCCTTCTTCATTTATTCCCAAAAAACTGTGCCTTATCGCAAAAATGCAAACAAATATCAAGCTGCTCTCTCTCTCTGTCGCTATTTCTCTCGGTCTCACTGTTGAAGTAACCATGATGTAAGTCCGTCTAATTTGATCCAATGGCGGCATTCAAATTAGCGGTGAAGGTCTCAACGCGTGTTCCGTCTTTTCCCATCATGGTAAAGAGATTTTTAATTAAATACAATACATTTTATCTTATGTATTAACTCGTTTCATCTGACTCCATAAAATGAAAAAGTTTTTCAATGATATCTGTGCATCATTAAATATACGTTAATGTTTGACTATTCCTTTTAACTCCAATGGAAATTAGGTCAAAGTCTGTTAGAATAATCAAATATAACAATTTATTATGTCAGGTAAAAGTATTATGCCAATTTCATAATCAGTTCAAAGATCATCAATACAAAACATCAAATGCTTTAGGATAAGAGAAATAGATGCAAACCCAACATTTAAGAACTACATGAGCTAACCTCACGGGCTGATCTGAGATACAGAAAGAGCCCTGAGCTCTCGTTGCATTTTCCTTATATAGCCAAACCTTATTTGATATGTAAAACTAGAGTTTAGTGGAAATTTACTGTATTCCCCCACCATTACTGGGGGTAGAAGTTTGACCATCTGCGAAGAACAGTGGAAATTAGTAAATTCATACACCTTTGGGAGTGCCTAGAGACCACATTCCTTTGTGTGCCAGTTATTCCTAAACTCTTAAAAACCTTATTTCCTTTTGTTTTATACTTTGGGAATGAGACATTTGTACCACTCATTCTTGAGACATTTCAAATGATACCAAACATAATACTCAATGATAATCATTCACATCAAACCATACATATATTCTTATGTGAGTTTCAGGTGATCTGAATGAAGGGGAAGGAGTGGGGGATGAGGGAAAGAAATGTAGATTAGGATGATTCAGAGGTGAGACCTCTAGTCTAGGATGGGGGCTTCACAAGAGTGAGCCCAAATGCTACTATGCAGTGGGTTCTTTGTCTTCTCAAGAAGTGGTCGTTCCCTATAACCAGTTTTCCAGTCTTACAATGACAACGGATAGCGTATCCTTCCAAGATGGCGACGCGTTCCCACAATGCAACGCGGAGTGAAGCGCGTGACGTCACATTCTCATTCTCAATAGCTGATGATAATTAATCACA